ATAGGTCCAATGTCTGAAGATTACTCCAGTGTTTGCGTAATAAGATAGAATTCATCTACCGAACAGGTGGAAAGAACGGATAGAATGATGTCCGTTTCTCAGCTGTTCCGGACTCCCTTGAACATAGCGTCATGATGTTGCTCTTTGATGCATCTGTGCCTTGAGAGGATAAGTAGGTACGCAGTAGACACTCCGTAGATTTTTTTTTTGATGGAAAGAGACATGGATCCCTCTGTACGGAGTACATCTGCTAAAGTTCTCAAAAGTACTACTATCTACTCCATAACTAGGTATCGCAAAACTGCAGAGGATCTTCCCTGCTGTCGAGCGGAGACGCACAGCAGCCACTGAGACCACCAGCAACTTAACAAGCCTTTCTTGGACAGACACTCCCTCCTTCAATGGTTAATCGGTAGCTTGATGCTGACTGGATCACTAGCAAGTGGAAACGGCAGAATACAGGCGTTGCGGCTGTGCTATTTAGTTAGTTGGTTGGTGGCTGTTCGATGACTCAATCCAATATGAAGCTAGAGAGGTTCCTTGGGATATGTCTACCTAGCGTTGGCCGATCGAACAAATCAAATTCCTTCCTTCTCCTTTTCAGAATAAAGAAACTGGCGGAAAAGGATGCAATGGCCTACTTAGTCTAGTCTAGATCCTGGATGATCTCTCTTTGCTGCGAAGTCTTGTCTTGGTCCGCGTAACCAAGTAGCTGCCTGGAGCCCTGTATCGAGTCTATCTGCTCGTATTGTTCATGGTAAAGGACCATTATCAATCTTCGGTTAAGCTCACTGGACACAGCACCATTTCTGACAGTATGTACACAGTATGCCTTCTTCCTCGTAAAGTTAGGCGATAAAAGATCATTTATTATTGTCAGGAATGAAGAACTCTGTAGAAGCCTCCCATAGTAGGAACCGCGTCTAGGCCTCAGGCAGCAAAACGTGGTGATAACGGAGATAATGCGTAGGTATTCTTGATCCTCATCATTGGCACTCTACCATAGTTGACCGTCCTTTCATTATTCTCCTCGCCCATATCCTTAATTCTCGTTCTCTAGAACTGGCGCATCTTATTGAACGAACGTCCATCACTTCCGCGGGTCGCCCTATCGCAGAAGAATGAAGGATTGGTCCGTCGCCCCCCTGTTTCGACGACATCACTCGATAGCCCTCGACCGCTTGCGCCCGTCCGTCCATACATCCACACTATCGTTTCCCTGCCTTCGGTCGCCTTCTACGATTCTTCTTATTAACGCACACTAGCTTAAGCACTTCATATCTGTGATGTTTGCGCATGCTGTCAACAGCAGAAAAGCAGCGTCGCATAAATCACCAACGAGCTCGACTTGAGGAAACGCCGCTGCAACTTATCAACCCCACTAAAGCTTAGCGATCCAGGCTCATTGTTTGCTGCTGAATCGTCCGCCGAAACACTATCAGAAACTCAGCGGTAATTGAACCTGCACTTTCTTCTCGGTACCTCGAGAATTTAATCTGACCAAGGCGAAGAAACCGCGTTGTGCACACCTCTGGTCAGGTACCTGGCAAATCGAGCGCGCACACACCGACGGACATTTCACACCTGGATTGAGATACCCCAGTCTCAGATAAGCACTTGGCGACACGTCTCGCTCGGGAACTCGCTGTTGCGTCGTGCTCATTTGGATTTCCGATCGTGAAGTGAAGCTGGTTAGCCTACGTGCGAATACATATCCACAAATCTAGCACAACCGTTCACCAAGGTTTCATCTTCGAAATGTCGCCTACTCCACCATCCACCTCCTCGAGCATTGGTGCCGTTTCGCCGGATGGCCAGTTTAGGGTCATTCGAAAGCGAAACAGGGTGCCACTTTCTTGCGGCCCCTGCCGGCACAGAAAGTGAGTATTCGTCCTTTCCCTCTATCTGAAAAAGAGCATACTTTAACGCCGGATCATCAAAGACTGAAATGTAACCGCGCCCACCCATGCGAGAACTGCGTAAAGCGAGGCGACGCATCTTCCTGTACCTATGCTCAAGCAAGTGCGCGAAGGAAGAATGCAACACAGAACTCGGCCTCAAGTTCCCCGGACGATATGCAGAACAGAATAGACCGACTCGAGAGCTTGGTACTGTCTCTGATGACCAACGGATCACAATCCGCAGGCCCGGCAGCGGCAATGGCAGCAATTTCCGGAACCAGCAGTAGTGGCGGCTCCCTCAATCAGAGTCACGACATCGATCTGGACGACGAGACATCAAATGCTCCGGAGGAGAGCGATACGGAGCAAGTTACCAAGTCATTTGGTATCATGAAAGTCGACAACAATAAATCATACTATATCAGCGATGCGCACTGGGCTTCCCTCCTCAACGATGTGAGTCAGCACTTGACCATGCGCTCATGAGTTCTCTTTATTTACACGAATCCACAGATCGCCGAAGTCCGTAATTACTTCCACACGTACAAGAAGCAGTACGAGGAGCAAGCCGAGAAGTTCAAGACAACCAAGCTGCCGAGCGATGTCCCGGGCTCCACGCTGCTTCTTGGGGCCATGAAGCCTGCCAGCCGCGCAGAGATTATGTCTTCCTTTCCCTCGAGATATACAACAGATATGCTTATTGCTCGCTATTTCAATAGCTATGATCCAGCGACTCGTGAGTACCGACAGAACTAGAGAACCTGCATGTAAATGCATCTATGACTAACCATGAACAGATATTCTTCACGGTCCGACGTTTCAAGCTCAGGTAAGCATAATTGTTCTCCTGCAGACCGTTATTCCTTCTGACTTCCTCCCCAGTATAACAAACATTGGGAAGATCCTTCTCAAACCTGTATTGTCTGGGTGGGCATGCTGTTCGCCATGATGCGACTTGCTATGCTGTCATATAACCATGAAGGAGATGAGCCACCCGAGTTTCGAGGGAAATCCCTGGACATGGCTGGAACTTTTCGAAATCTGGTCGCTCAATGTCTGACTCTGGCCGATTATACCAAACCTTATCCCTACCTGATCGAGACATTCATCTTCCATCTTCATGGCGACTTTCGTCAAACGAAGGAAGCAGATATTTCGGTCTGGGTGCTCGTCGGTGTCGTCGCAAGGCTAGCGATGAGAATGGGATACCACCGAGACTCAAAAGTTTTCCCCAACATTACCCCCTTTCAAGGTGAGATGCGCCGACGCGTATGGACTTTCGTGCGGCAGTCGGACTTGCTCTTTTCATTTCAGGTTGGGCTGCCCAGCATGATTCGCACTGTGGATAGTGATACGGAGCTCCCGCGGAATCTATATGATGATGATTTCGACGAAAATTGCAGGGAACTTCCTCCCTCACGACCGGCGAATGAACCGACACCTATCTCTTACCTCATTGCCAAAGCACGTCTGGCGTACGTATTTGGCCGAGTTACCGAGCTCACCTCCAGTGTGCAAAGTGAATCTTACGACAAGGTGATGGAGTTGGATGCTGAGCTTCGCCGAGCTCGGGACCTGATTCCGGAGCATCTTGTCATTCGTCCTTTTGAGGAGTGTCAGTTGGACCCGTCCAATCTGATTATGTCGCGCTTCGGTGTACGTCAATCACTTGCCAGTTATACCGCGAGTTGTAGTACTGATCGTTGGCAGATAATGAGCGTCTACCATAAAGCACAGTGTGTTCTCCACCGGCCTTATATCGTTCTAGCACGTGGAAACCCCCGGTTCGCCTACTCACGCAAGACTTGCATCGATTCAGCCATGGAGCTGCTGCGGTTTCAGTCAATGCTACACGCAGAGACAAGGCCAACGGGACGTCTGCGCACAAAACAGAATCGCATAAATTCCCTCAGCTCCACTGATTACTTGCTGGCTGCAACTATTGTCTGCTTCGACCTGTATCATGGACTCAAATTCCAAGCCGGCGGAAGAGATTCCGGCGACACCGTTGCGTGGGGCAGGGAGCGACGACAGGAGATGATCATTGCATTGCAGCGCTCTCGAGAGATCTGGGACGAACTTCGTGAGGAGTCGCTTGAAGCTTGGAAAGCCGCTGGCATTCTCGGCGTGATGCTTGCCAAATTGAATTTAGGGTTTCCAGACAGTAATGCCACGGCACCGGCCTTCGAACCTCAGGACGAGAAGCAAAGCGCCGCGATGACCTTGGGATTATTGAGCAGTGGAATTAACGCCGCAAACTCAGGATCCCCAGCATTCAATGAAACTGGTTTCAAAGTGTCAGAAACGCCTTCTGCCCCGGGGGCATTTGGGTCCACGGCAGAGGTACCCGGAGCTCTGTCCCCGTTCAGCACGATGTTCGGACAAATGCCTGATATGCAGCTGAACTTGGATTGGGTACGCTTGCCCCTTTTTCATGCCTTGACACCACTGGGCATTACTAACACCCGCGAACAGGATTCTTGGGACACTTATATTCAGAGTTCGAATCTGGACATACCGAACCAATGGTGGCCAACGTTCGATGGACAGCAGCAGCAACCATCACCACAACCGCCGCTTCACCCATCGTTACAAGCTCAGGGGCCCTTGTCATCCACACAATTACCTTCCATGCAGCAAGGCAACACTGCAGATAATATGCGGTCTTTGCCTCGCTTTTCCAATGTCTTCTCTCCAGACCCGGTGAAGTATGAGAGTCCCGGTATTAACGGGCCTTACGACAACAACTCTCCCCAAAAAAGTAATAACGCTTCAGGCGAGGGCATCTTATAAGTACTCATGTCGATAGCAAAGCGCATTGTTTGAACGTTCACATGTCCAGTGATTCACTTCTTTCCAGCAATAATACCTTTTCCCACCCGGTGTATGGGTTTGGAGGTGTGGCGTTTCCTCAAGGACTCAAATCACCCTAATGTACAAATCCGGAAGACTGTATATACCCTGTTTCTCCACTCGATCCCCACAATCGACTGTGAATTACCGCCTCAGTCATTGACACTAGGTTGGTTTCATTCTATTTCATTTGCGCGAGACAAAAACTAGTGAAAAGCGGCATTCGTAAAATCCATCAGTTTCATAATGGCGCATGGCCTGATACAGTCACGTGACCTTATCGTATCCGATAAGGCGAACTTTTTTGCTGAACGCATTCTGTATTTCTCCCTTTGCCCTTGGCCATATATCACTAACTCAATTCACGAGGACACAAAAAATGTAAGGAAAATAACCTATCTGTTTTATATGGATGCTGTGATAGATTTTCCTCTACCAGGGACACCGTGACTGATTGCATCTCTTTACAGGCATTGCTTTCGACGAGCAGCCAGTCGCCTCCTGTCTTTGCCGGTCACCGCGCCGGCATGGTCAGCCAGGGCCCTTGCACCTCGCGTCCCTCTACCCGTATTATCCCCTTTGCAATCTCAACTAGTTTTACATACGAGATGGTTCAGCGACAACACCGCCAGCCAGGAGCCGACGAGCTCACCTGAGCACGAGAATCATGACTTCTCCGAGATCGGGTTGGCGGAGCCCGATGCTCGCGATGCGCGGCCTCAGAAACCCAAAAAGCGGCTCAGGATCCTGGAAGGGAATCCCAGCCCTAAGCCGACTGTCTACATTGGTAATCTGTTCTACGATGTGACGGCGGAAGATTTGAAGAACCACATGCAGCAGTTTGGCGTTGTGGAGAAAGTCGATCTCATTACTGATAACCGAGGAATGAGCAGAGGGTGAGCCCAGTTCCTACTGTTCTCTGCGGGAAAAGAGAAATCTAACAATCTGTCTGTGTTTTGTCGAATAGGTTTGCATACGTGCACTTTGACTCTATTGATTCCGCCAAAAGTTGCGTCGAGGCTATGCATTTGCAAGCCTATGAGGGCCGCCGTATAATCGCGCAATATGCGAGCAGCGGCGGCGGATCCAGGCCCGTGCAGCCCGTTTCGAGGACGCTGTACCTCGGCAACCTGTCGTTTGAAATGACCGATCGGGATCTGAACGAGCTCTTCAGAGATATCAACAATGTTATTGATGTTCGCGTATCGGTTGATCGACGGACAGGGCAACCTCGCGGCTTCGCTCATGCAGAATTCCTCGATGTCGAGAGCGCTCAGAAGGCTTTCGAGATTCTCAGCGGGAAGGCACCTTTCGGTCGACGGATTCGCGTGGACTACAGTAGTACTAACAGGAGGGGTAGTCGTATCGAGGATGTTCCGGATGAGGAGTAATCAGTCGCATTATACATTCAGTTGGGCTCTGTCTCTTTTTATGCGCTTGGTTGTGTTGCAAGAATTCGACGAATGATTTACCATTATGCATACGATGTATACTATAGCCGGCATTCACGAGTTTAATCTATACAACATAGAGCTTTGGTATCTTTCAATCAGAGGACCTTCTGAATACCGCCTACACCTATGAAACGACCTGTTGCATAAATACCTACAGAGGAATAGTGGACAGGAGTCTCCTGATATCGAAACACGTGACCTACGGCGGACCTCGGCATCAGCAGGTCTCCGATCGGTTTCCAACCCCACGTTTTGGCGGAGATACCGTTGTCATCTACCTCTCCATCATCCTCCTCCTCCTTTTGTCCTAGACTCTATTGAAGCTGATCGTTGACCAGTCAGATCCTTTCTTAACTGTTGATGTTATTTTTTCAGACGGGTTTCTTTTAAATTTGTCAACATGTCGTTCCTTGGTGGCGCCGAGTGCTCTACCGCGGGAAACCCGCTCACACAGTTCACCAAGCATGTGCAGGACGACAAGTCACTCCAACGGGACCGCCTTGTCGGCAGGGGTCCCGGGGGCGTGCAAGAGAGCATGCGGTCGAGGAGTATGATGGGTGGGCAAGATCAGGTACGAAATCTCACCCTCTTTGGAGCCGCTGCTAGTTACTGTAGCTAACAATGGATTGGTAATCTAAGTAGATGATGGACGAGTTTGCCGCACAACAACCAGGCCAGATTCCCGGGGCAGCACCGCAACCATTTGCGATGGAACAATTAAGGCGCGAGCTAGATCACTTCCAGACCACTCCGCCGAGGACGGGGTCTCCCGGGTGGGCGGCTGAGTTTGATACTGGCGAGCATGCCCGGATGGAGGCTGCGTTTGCCGGCCCTACAGGACCTCTAATGAACAACGGGTCCGCATTCACACCTGCAGAGTTTGCTCGCTTCCAACAACAGAGTCGGGTCGGCATGCCACAAACGTCAAGTCCAGCCACGTCCGCGTCGCCGATGATGGCCGGTTATCAGCGTCCTATGGGCATGGGGTACATGGGTATGGGAGGAATGGGTATGATGCGTCCATCCTATACACCCATGGGCATGCAACAACAGCCCGCGGAGGCCGCTACTCAGGACAAGGGCAAGGGCCGCATGGTCGAGCTCGATGATGAGAACTGGGAGGCACAGTTTGCCGAGATGGAGACGGCGGGTAACCAGACGCTGGACGACGAGGCCAACGCGGCGATGGAGGCGGAGCTGAATGATCTTGATAGGTCAGTCCCCACTACTGACACCGGTAATGCTCAAGATTACGGTGCTTTTGAGAGCGTATGGCAAAGAGTCCAAGCTGAAACGGCGACAAGCAGAAAACTGGCAGAGGAAGATGCCTCTTTTGATATCAACGACAACCTGCACATGGGAGACCTCGGCGAGTGGGACGGCTTTGACAATCTCCACACGCGTTTCCGAGATCCTCAGCTGGGCGATTACATGTTCGAAGAGGAAAACGTGTTCCGGAATGTGGCCAATCCCTTTGAAGAAGGTGTCAAGATCATGCGCGAAGGCGGCAATCTTTCCTTGGCCGCGTTGGCTTTCGAGGCGGCTGTCCAGAAGGAGCCTCAGCACGTTCAAGCCTGGACAATGCTGGGATCCGCACAGGCGCAAAACGAGAAGGAGCTTCCTGCTATTCGTGCCCTGGAACAGGCGCTGAAGATCGATCCCAACAATTTGGACGCACTCATGGGGTTGGCTGTTTCGTATACAAACGAAGGTTATGACTCGACGGCTTACCGTACCCTCGAGCGTTGGCTGTCTGTCAAGTATCCTCAGATCATCGATCCTAAGGATCTGTCGTCCGACGCAGACTTGGGCTTCACAGATCGCCAGATTCTACATGAACGGGTCACCGATCTGTTCATCAAGGCGGCACAGCTGTCGCCTTCTGGCGAGCACATGGATCCAGACGTTCAAGTCGGATTGGGTGTTCTCTTCTACTGTGCAGAGGAATACGACAAGGCTGTCGACTGCTTCTCCGCCGCACTGGCATCTACCGAGTCGGGCACGGTGAATCAGAAGGAGCAGCTTCACCTTCTCTGGAACCGTCTCGGAGCTACACTTGCCAACTCCGGTCGCTCAGAGGAGGCTATTCAGGCATACGAGCAAGCTCTTACAATCAACCCCAACTTTGTCCGTGCCCGGTACAACCTTGGCGTATCCTGCATCAACATCGGTTGCTACCCTGAGGCTGCACAGCACCTCCTAGGCGCTTTATCTATGCACCGTGTCGTCGAACAGGAAGGTCGGGAGCGAGCTCGCGAGATCGTTGGCGGTGGTGAGGGCGGTATTGATGACGAGCAACTTGAGCGGATGCTCCATATCAGCCAGAACCAGAGCACGAATTTGTACGATACGCTGCGGCGTGTTTTCAGCCAGATGGGCCGTCGGGATCTGGCTGATATGGTAGTGGCAGGGATGGATGTGAACGTGTTCAGGAAAGAATTCGATTTCTAGGGGTGATACCTCCTGCGCTTTCTGTCTTATAGAACGAACGGGCAAGAATTTGGCATGATCGGGCATATTTTTCGTGTCTCAGTTGTTGTGTTGGATACCATATGTCTTTACTTCGTACCTCGAGGTCAACTTGTAGCGAATTTGATTCATACCTTGTGAGATCGCTATCGGCCAATAGATTCTTAGTACTGTATACTCTCTGTCTCTCTTCCGGCAGTCTTATATATCTCATTGCGCAGTCTACCGACGCTGATTGACTAGATGATCACTGCTGATAGACAATCTAGTATTAAATTTCCATGTTTAAAGTCAAAGAAGATACAGATTCTTAGATGTCGCTGTTCATAACGAACGACTTGACTTCTCGGGAATCATTCCGGGCTTGCGTCATTTGTAACCTCGGAAGTGCCTCAGAGCATCTCCTCATCGATAACCATCCTCAGAAGCTTCAATGACCCAAAAATGGCCTTCCATCACTCATCTGATATCTAAAACACACATTTTATATTGCTAGTGTTAGCTAATCTGCTTAATATTGGATTGATTCACTATACCTAGCACCAGGATGGCTGTCGTTAGTGGTGCTCAGATGATTGCCCGGACGCTGCGCGACCTCGGCGTCACTGTGATTTTCGGGATAGTGGGTATTCCAGTAATAGAAGTTGCAGAGAGTGCCATCGACTTGGGTATTCGCTTCATTGCGTTCCGCAACGAGCAGGCATGCAGCTATGCAGCGAGCGTGTACGGGTACCTGACCGGACAACCTGGTGTTTGTCTAGTCGTCGGAGGACCAGGAGTCCTCCATGCCTTAGCTGGGGTGAGTGAGCGCGTGCAGTCCAAATTAAACCACTGAGCTGTGACTGACGATTGCCCCTGCAATGCACAGATTGGCAATGCTTCCGCGAATAACTTCCCGCTGCTGGTACTCGCCGGATCGGCGGAGACCTCAGGCGTCACGAAGGGCGCCTTCCAGGAGATGGATGCCATCTCGTTCCTCACGCCGCACACCAAGTTCGCAGTGCGACCGCCGTCTCTCGCGTTCGTCGCCGGCGCCGTCAAAAACGCATACCGGACATGCTGGTACGGGCGTCCCGGTCCGACCTTCGTCGACCTACCTGCCGATCTAATCCAGGGCAAATCAGCGCCTGGCTTCCGCTTACCGGAGCCAGAGGAAATACTCGTCCCGCCGCCTCCCAAGGCAAGCGGGGACCCCGCAATGATCCTGAAGGCGGCGCAACTGCTCAAGGCGGCTCGTGCGCCGTTACTGATTATCGGCAAGGGGGCCGCGTATGCAAGGGCCGAGGGCGGGATCCGCAAGCTAGTCGAGCAGACGCAGATTCCGTTCCTCCCGACCCCGATGGGGAAAGGTGTAGTGCCCGACTCACATCCTCTCAATGTGTCGAGCGCGCGGAGCGCGGCGCTGAAGCACGCGGACGTGGTGCTGGTGCTTGGGGCGCGGCTGAACTGGATTCTGCATTTTGGCGAGCCGCCCAAGTGGTCTCCCCGGGCGAAGATCATCCAGGTTGATATCTGCGCCGAGGAGATCGGTCGCAATGCGGGCACTGCGGAGCTGGGGATCGTCGGGGATATCGATCTGGTAGTCGAGCAGCTGCTGGTTTCGCTTTCGAACTGGCGGTATGCCTCGTCGGCTGCTCCGAGCCGGTTCCTGGCGTTGTTGGCGGAGTCAGCGAAGAAGAATGAGGCCAAGGCGCAAAAGGCTGCGTTTACACCTACGCCAAAGAACTCGCCCTTGACGTACCAGCGGGCCTTTCAGATTATCAAGACGACGCTGAATTCGCTGGCGCCGTTTGAAGACGGGAACGTTGTGTATGTATCGGAAGGCGCGAACACCATGGACATCTCCCGTTCAGTTTTCCCGCTGAATCATCCCCGTCAGCGTCTGGACGCTGGCACATATGCTACGATGGGCGTGGGAATGGGGTATATCATCGCCGCTCACGAGGCGTACAACGCCTTTCCGGCATCCACGGACAAACCGAAGAAGATCGTGGCGCTCGAAGGCGACAGTGCGTTTGGCTTCAGCGCGATGGAAATCGAGACCATGGCCCGCTACCGAATCCCGGCACTTATCTTCGTGGTGAACAACTCGGGCATATACCACGGCGACAGCGCTTCCGAGAGCTCCTGGAAAGAGCTACAGGCTCAGACGGCGGCCAACGATACCAAATCTGACGGTCGGGATGATGGCAAGAAGGGCCTGCGGTCGACTAGTCTCCTTTACGAAACCCGCTACGAGCAATTCGGACCTATGTGCGGTGGGAAGGGGTACTTTGTCCGCTCTGAAGAGGAGCTGGAGACTGCTACGAGGGAGGGATTCCTGAGTGATACGGTCACCGTTGTCAATGTCATTGTGGAACCGGGCGTTGGGAAGAAGATAGGGTTTGCCTGGCAGGGAAATGCTCATGAAGGACAAGCGAAATTGTGATGACCCCGTCTCGATTCGATACTGTAATATTCATAGTCTACCAGTAGTAATGTGGTTGGCAAATCAAGATGTAAGCCCTGAATAACATTGCTCATGCCACTCCCGTCACGAATGTATAAGCTCATCAACCACTTTCGCGACAGCAACAGCCTTTTCCTCCCCGAACCGCCCCCCTACAATCTGTATGCAGATTGGCATATTCTTGACCAAATCGATATCATCTATCACGATTATTAGCATAGCAAGTCTCGCATGTACACCGGAATCACTTACACTGGCCATGACTAAACTCATCAGACTGGTTTCGAGGGGTATGAGCCAACCACTCTTGATCAGGCTGATCCAAAGCCGGATCTGCATACGTCACAGGCACCGTTACTGCTGCATAGTTTAGGAGATTCAAGAGGGCCGTATAACCCAGCCATTGATAGCTCGTCACCCATGTTTTCGGTCGGTAACCGACCCACGGTGTTACGGGCATGAGGAGCGCATCGATCCCGCTGTCTTTCCACTGCTTTAGATAACGTTCTTGGAAGAGCCACTTTTCTTCCTCGAGCTGTAAAGTGTCAGCTGGTGGACTTTTGAGGGTCCCGACTTAGTGGTCGATGATCTACCTTTTCCCGTTCCAGAATGGAAAGTTCATCCGCTGGAGTCCCGACTAGCATCCCTTCGATCAGCGGCTCATCGACAATGTCACAGAGCTGTTTGCAGTGCGAGCCCCCGTCTGCTAGGATAGCTTTCTTCCAAAGATTTGTCCCTGTGATGTGGAGGGAAGTGTTCCATTCTATGACTGTTACGAGAATTTAGCCTGAGACTTCCTTTGAGCCACCTCAGAGAATACCTTCATGGCCAGCTGCTGCAAGCTTTGTTGTTACTTCGCGTAGAGCACGAGTTATAGGCGGCTGTGGCTTGACCACCCCGTCGTCGAAGACGACCCCCAACTTGAGCTTGCGGTCAGGCAAGGCCGCTAACTCCTTCCTCCATGGAATGGGTATGCAACCTGGGTCGACGTCCCAGGGGTTTGAGTCGAGAAGTGACTGCATAAAGTACTCGATTGTCGCAATGTTTCGAGCCATGGGCCCTGCGACTGGGGGAACGAGGTAGTGCTGATGCATACTGTAAGGCGCGTCAGTCCAGCCGTTTTTCCAGGACGCATGGTTTTGATAAATCTCACAAAGAACAGTCCCACGGGACACGGCCCGTTGTCGGACAGATAGAGTAGAGACCCTGCAAGGCAGCCGGGATGCGGATCGAGCCCCCGATATCCGTCCCGATACCTAGAATACTCCCTCGCGCACCGATCAGAGCACCTTCGCCTCCAGAGCTGCCGCCGGAGATGAGTTTGTGGTTGAACGCGTTGATGGATTGGCCGAAGATGTGATTGTATGAGTCAGACATCTGAGTCTTGTCAGCAGAAGTAGACAGACTGAGACAGCACGCATACCATCAGAGACTGTGGTATATTGGTCTTGACGTAGAGCACTGCGCCCATGGACTCTAGCAATCTGGCGATGGAACTGGACCTCTGCGCTGGCTTGCCAATCAAGCCAACCCATCCTATTCGCTCCAGTCAATTCTAAGAACCAAGTCCCACACAAGTTGCAACAACATACCAATCGTAGTATCCATCCCCTCCACATCAAATCGATCCTTGATGGAGACCGGCAATCCATGCAGAGGTCCTGTCAGGATACCAGTCTTCTCATACTGATCATCCAGCTCCTTCGCTCGCGCCAACGCCCGGTCGAAAAAGATCTCCGTCAGACACTTGGTCATCTGCTGCGCGATTGCCGCCCGCTTGCAGAACGCCGTGGTCAACTGCACGGAACTCACCTCTCTTGAAGCCAGGAGGGCAAGGAGATTTGTCGCATCGTTAGTCTCGGTCCATTCAAGCTCCTCCGCAGAAAGCAGACCGCATGTTCGGATAGTTTCGAGGGTATTGGGTAGGGGAAAAGTGAGGATTGTGGAAGGGAGACGCCAGGAGGGAGGGATGGCGTTGAGTTGGGCTGTGCGTTTTTGCTGCACCGCTGATTTCCAATGTGGAATTGATGAGAGTGTCATGATGTTTATTATCAGTTTGTCTGGTTAGAGGTCATGGATTAAGGTGTTGCAGATATGGGAAGTTGACAGGACTGCTGTATATAGATGTCCTTGATTGCTGATAATGGGGTGGCTGCATGATGATTGATCCTAATCGATGAAAGATATACGAGGCGTGTAACCTTGTTCCCTGCACCGAGGATATTCTGTCCAATCCAGATGGTGAGCTGTATCTTAGATCTAGGTGATATTTGAGAGCTGTTTGCGGGGACAAAGAGGGGCAGAAGGTTGGATTGCCGAATACCCAGAGCAGGCCGGATGAGAATGCTTATCTAGGACCAAGTCTGTACAAGCTCATCCAATCGACTCACAAGAACTGTGGTGATACGAGATCGACGTCCTTCAACTCTGAATCAAAAGGACTGATGCAGGAGCAATGATTTCATGATAGGCTTATGATTCAATATCATTTACAGTACTGATACATTCGTCTAAACCGTCATCAGCATGCTGGCATTTTTATACCAGGTCAGCAGCGGATTCTCGCCGCTCCTCGTCTCGGTGTCTTCTATATACGCCCAACGGCGGACAAAGTCCTCGTGACTCATCACCTGTGTCAATTTCCCGGTAATGGCGCGGTAAAGATCCTCAATGACGTTGAAGTCGGTGGGGAAGAATATATCGAAGTAGCCTTGATGAACCTGTATTGCACGATTAGAATGCGTCCGTAGCATCAAAAACGAGAAAGTACTTACAAAGGGGGTAGACACTGGGACTGTTCGTCTCTTGTAACGTGTCTGCACCACTGGCGCATTGATACCCGGAACAGCATCCGGGAGACTACTAAAGTCACTCGCGACCAGCCGATGTGCAGGAAAGTAGCTATCCAAGATATCAAAGAACTGCATGAGCCGAGTGGGAATGTACTCTGGAAGGGTATAAGGGCTCTGGAAGGGCAAGGAACCGCCGAATTGGCGAATCGCTTTGGGGCCCAGAGGGCTCGGGAACGGCCGACGCGCCGCAGCCTGTCTGACGCGCAAGAATCGAGATGCCACAGGGTCAAGTTGCGCATTGTAGTATTCATGAAATTCGCCGTCCGCATCAATCAGCACGCCGCCTTGTTGGGGAAGTTCCGTCTTGCAGTCATATCGAATCGCATCGTGAGAGAAATTATCAAACACCTCCAACGCGAGAAAGAAGCAAGGCGAATGTACATAGGTATCCCAGTCAAAGATGGATCGGTTGATGATTTCAACATGGTCCATATGCCCAGCTGCATTCACCGAATCGGTCAGATTCTTCATCTGCAGGCTCGCGAGTGCGGGCGAGATCTCAATGATCTTGAACTTGGTTCGCTGGTATACTTCGTAATCTGTATCCCGGATAAAATCCAAAATGTTGATCATCATTGTACCGTTGCCGGCTCCCATCTCGTATATGATCAGGTCATGATAGGGATACAATGTCAATTTATAGTTTGACACCAAGTATCGAGCGACTGTCTCCCCGTAATAAGGGCGGAACAGTTCGGTGGGAGTATGCCACAGTTGACGGGCCACGTCCGGCTGTGTTTCATCCAATTTATCTTCGAATTCTGTATACCGCTCTCCGAGCATGCGATGGAATGCCGGCCCGTCTTCGATGTTATTGAAATCAAACGGCTCGCCGGGGCTGAAGATGGTCGCGTGTTTCGAGAAATAACCGTAATGAGGATTATACAAACTATCTACATAAACAGCAGATCTGGTCAGCAATCCATGTACATTTGCCATTGACAGATATGCCTGCAGAGCAAGCGAAAGTACCGTACCGTCAATAAATTCTCTCGTCAACATCTTCACTTGCCGCGGGCGCTCGCGACGGTTCCGCAGATCTTTCGCAGTGACAAGCGGATATGTCTTTAATTCCTCCTCAATATCCCTGGGATAATCCCCCCGTTTGAGCCAATGCATTCCATCATCGGTACTCCTGCGCTTGGTCGGCGACCGTCGCGTGAGAAAAGGACGACATTGTTGACGAACTGGCGCTTGCAACCGGACGCAATTTGCTCCGCGGGTTATTGGTGACGACGTTCTAAATGATTGACAAGCAGGATGTCGGAACAGCTGTCGAAACAGCTGACTGAGGATCTGGCTGTCCATAGAACGATGGAACAGCGGGTATTCCAGGAGATAATACAACCGTAGTAGACAGTTGACAGAAATGCTGATAATGACGATAATGAAGGATGATGGATGGAGGCCGGCGGAGGAGTTCCTCAAGCGGCCCGAGCTTTCTCTCCGACTTCCTACACTGACCTCACTCGCTTGGATGTGATCTAGATAGTCGCTCTTTTAATTTTGGGCGTGCTTTTATGTTTTGAACGACCACAGAGCATTATTTCTCAGTATGTCCGATCATTCTAGGGTCTGTATAGGAACCGCCTTTGTGGCTGGACTCCTCCTCGCGGTGGGGTTTACTGAGCTTCTGTATCCGGAGTTGAAGAATCGCATCCGAGGAACTCGTTCCCAGCCGACAAGGGCCCTGCAGGATGGCTCCGCAGACTCTTTGACGGTCAGGTCAGGACCTCCTGCAATTGTCGACGGCATTGAAGGCTGCATTGGGAATACTCCTCTGTTACGCATCAAATCCTTATCAGATGCGACTGGATGCGAGATTCTTGGGAAAGCAGAGGTATGGTGATTTTGTCTATTCGTCTACATTGAGAGAAATCCATCTCTAATGGTGCTGTAGTTTCTGAACGGAGCAGGTCAGAGCTCCAAGGACCGAGTAGCTTTAAGCATGATTGAGATTGTATGTGATACGTGCCTCGGTCCCTTCTCATGTCAATTATTAACCTGCAAAGGCCGAGCAAAAAGGTATCTTGAAACCTCACTCCGGGGATACCATCTACGAGGGCACGTCCGGTTCGACCGGCATTTCATTGGCCACTCTTGCCAGAGCAAAGGGCTACCTCGCTCACATGTGAGTATCGACTCGTGCATTTGCATGAAGTGTTCATACCCCAACTGACGCTTATCAGCTGCATGCCATCTGATCAGGCAATCGAAAAGTCCAACCTGCTCCTGAAATTAGGCGCAATAGTAGATCGTGTACCTCCCGCACCGATCGTTGAAAAGGACAACTTTGTCAATCGCGCGCGCGCCCTCGCTCAAGCTCAGACACTGTCTCCCTCGGGTGGGACAGGCTTCTTCGCAGATCAGTTCGAAAACGAAGCCAATTGGAGAGCTCACTACAACGGTACAGGGCCGGAGATTTATGCGCAGTGCAACGGTAAACTCGACGCGTTTGTCGCTGGCGCCGGTACTGGGGGTACAATTTCTGGCGTGGCCCTCTTCTTGAAGCCTCGGATTCCAAACATGAGTGTAGTGCTGGCCGATCCTCAGGGAAGTGGACTCTACAATCGAGTACGCTTCGGCGTTATGTTTGATCTCAAGGAGAGAGAAGGCACGAGGAGGCGAAGACAGGTTGACACGATCGTCGAAGGCATTGGGATTAACCGCGTCACTGCCAACTTTGAAGCAGGAAAGGAGCTCGTCGACGATGCTGTGCGAGTGACGGATGCGCAGGCGTTGGCCATGGCTAGATGGTTAGTCGAAAAGGATGGTATCTTCGTTGGAAGTAGCAGTGCTGTCAATTGTAGGTATATTCTTGTTGGTACCTAGTTTGCTACCTTGCTAATTACTATGATACAGGTTTTGCGGCAGTCAAAACAGCGATGAAGCTCGGTCCCGGCCATAGGATCGTCACAGTCCTGTCTGACTCTGGCTCAAGGCACCTCTCTCGATTCTGGGCCAAGGCTGGAGATGTCGGCGGTGCGGTGGATACCAAACTGGAGGACGTTCTGAACGCCAAAGATGACGAGTAGCTGTTCGGTACAAAGTACGACAATTCTTGGATTCGCGTTTGAGAAAGGTGCAGGGCTTTGCAGTCAAAGCGCACCGCAATCGAACTCCTGGGAGCACGTCTCACACTCTCTCCTTCTCCTTCTCGCGATCGTCCTGTTCCCGTGGCTCTCTGGGCTTGGTTAGAGGGGCATGATCGAGAGTCGACTGCTCCGGGATGTGGGCTCCGTCGCCTATCGGCTTTGCTTCGCTCACGAGCTTTGCACATCCTTACTTTGAACAGTCATCCAGCTCAGCCCAGAGTCTCAACAGTGCGAACTCTATTTCCGCGTGTGAACGGCCGGGAAGGGCGGCACGAATATGGGGCCAAGTTAAACCTTGTTGGTCCTTGAAAGCCTGCAATTTGTCCACCTCCTCCTTCGACCAAGGCTTGGAGATTCGAGGCGGTTTGTCATGCCGTTCAGTCCAATGCGTCTGGTTCCACTGGATGAGTGAAATTAGTTTTCGCTGGGGAAAATGTTCTTGGACCTCCTTCCATTTCTTTCCTTCAATCTGCCTCATGCGGATGATCAGCTTCGCCTCGTCTGGCGTCATCAGTGTCCTTTTGGCTCTAGTAGGAGTGGACGCCTGCGCTATGACCGGGTCTGCGTGTTGTTCGGCTGCAGAAATATGTGTATCTACGGAAAGACACTGATCTGCACGTTTTTCAATGGTCTCAGGCTCTAACTGTGAAGCTGCGCCGTTGGCGATTTTGGGCTCTGTTGCCCCATGAAGAGCATTGATGGTGGGTTGGGAACCAGGATTTAGCTGAGGGAGAAGCGGTCTGCGCTCATCCTTTGTGCGACTCGGAGTGTTTTCGACATGAATTTTGGCCCTGATATGAATGGGGTTCTTCGGTGTTGGCGATGGTTGATAGTCTTCCTGCAGAGGATCGTCCGATTCGCTTCCGTCAGGGGTTGCTGCAAAAGACCAGTCGTGCAAGACGGGGCTTGATTGGTGCTTGTATTTTCGTTGGCTGACTCCAAGTTTCTTTCTGCTTTTTTCTTTTCTGCCGTCTGTGTTGCGCCTCGATTGTCCAGGAAGTGCCCAGAGAGACCCCGCTTTTGGAGGAGATCCAGACCGGACAGCAGTCAAAGGAAGCTTGGGGCGTGATCGGTAAAAAATGGGCGTCGAGAACTCGCCTTTAATCTCAGGCACGCGCCAGATAGACTCCACTGGCTTGTCCGCTTTGTCTCCACGGGTCTGTTGGGATTGGATGGGCGTATTAGCCGTAGTATTTGCTTTTGCGGGAAAAGCCTCACTTTCAAGCGGCAGGGCTTGACCATCACGTTTATCTGAGTCATTGGGGACGATCAATGCACAGTCCAACAAGGAGTCCACACTTTTGGAATCGTCATCCGAATCCGCCTCGCCTGTCTCAGGTGGCTGCTTTTCATCATATGCACGATCTAACCGCAGCGCTGGGAGCGGTTGCGGCGACGTAAGCGCGCGCTGTAGCTGCACTCCGTCTTTCGTATCGTCACGGTCAGTCTCTGTCTCTACCTCCGAGTCATGTACAGATCCTGCCAGCGTAGCTTTAGAGATCTGAACCGTAGACGTGGGTAGTTGTTCCTTGAACAACCATCCTGCCTCGTCCTTTGCCCCAGTATCATCTTCGCCGGACATTCTCTGCAAGTGACCATTATTGACCACAATTTTCCCTGTCTGTAAATCGATTTCATCCCCAATATCCGTGAAATCTTTCCCGTATTTTTCGAAGATGCGTTCAAAGATCGATTTGAGGCGGAGGTCATTTTGGGCTCTGGCTTCCTGCAGGTCTATATCGTCTGAGTCTTCACCATTAACACCCAAGGATAAGCGGGGTCTTTTCTGAGGTCTTTCCATGATGATTGAGGTTCAAGTGAGCTGTAGAATTCGTAGGCATAGGAAGACACCGAAGGAGAAAGAACTGTATTCGAGCTTTCGAGATACGGTTGGGGTTGGGGGAATTGACGGACTTCCTGGTTCAAGGGATGTTGGAACGGTCACGAGAGTCATTGAAGGCTATGTGCTGGGAGTCTCCATAAAAGGTAGAGGTCGCAAAGTTGTGCTGCAGTAATGTAGGCAGACATGTGTTATTCCAACTGAATGGCTGCAAACGAAGGTCGAATATGGTTCACATAATATGGACGACTGAGTGGACAAAGTAAACGGCAAACCCATTCATGAGCAAGACCCTATTGTTATAGCCATATTTTCTCTATTGAGTGAATTGTCCTTCAATAAGGGTGCAATCTGCTCCCTCCATGGCTCGGACAGCGGACAAAAACACGCGACGCCGTGGCACGGGTTGCTGCATGACGTCTCCCTGCGGAAACACCGTGCATGTCTCCCCCATGCGCTTTTCCGTCTAGTCAGAACAACACCCATCTTATCCGTACGTGACGGGTTCTTCTCTCGCGCATAATGCATGGAACGACATCTTCAACACCCTACAAACATGTATTGCCAGAAATGTCGGACACCGCTGAAGCTGGATGGCTCCCTTGAGGCGCTCAACCCGGCGGCCTTTGACTTACTCGTCGGTAAAGCTCCAGCTGCATTCCTTAGGGACGAATCGTACACGCTCGCTAACTTTCCATCGATAAATAGGCTCAACAGGCAGAACTCTTCCGGAAAATACCACCACATCCTCTACGCTACCTTCCTATCCCCCCGAAAGACGAGAGCTCTACGACCGAGTCTCCAACCATGCTACGTCGCCAGTATACAGAAGATCCATCCCAGCACCCCGGCCTACGGGCAGCGGCCGAAGCAACCCTCCCAGGCTGGGCCGAGGAGACAGCGGCAACATGTCGTTCGTCATGCTCACGGAGTCACAGGTCGGCCCACCCCATACCAGCTCGAGCAACAATGGAGAAGGTCAGTCGTGGGCGAACAAAAGGCCGTCTGGCGCCCCGAACAGCGAACGGGAACCAGAAGACGGGTCTTTCTCGGATCAAGTAGAGAGATCAAATCGGCTATTTGAAATCATATCAGCTCGCTCCGATATAGACCATCCGATTTGTGTTGAGTGCACGGAGATGCTCGTGGATGGGCTACAGAAACGGCTTGTGTCTGCCACCAAGGAGCGGGACGCTTACATATCATTCCTAAGGGACTTGAACTCCTCAGCACCCACAGCCGAGGAAATCGAGGCGGCTGAAAAGTCGCTCAAGGAGACTCTCGCGGCGGAAGAGGCGGCATTTGAGGAGCTTGTCGCATTGGAGAAGGAAAAGGCCGCCCTGGACGAGGAAATCGCAGCTCTGGAGGAAGAGTCGCGGCAGCTGGACCTCGAGGAGGAGAAGTTCTGGCGAGACCGGAACGCATTTGCGTTGACGCTGTCCGAATTTCAGAACGAACGCGATGCCCTGAATATGCGGTACGATCATGATTCACGCCAGCTGGAACGACTACAACGCACTAACGTTTACAATGATGCCTTCTGTATTGGGCACGACGGCTACTTTGGGACCATCAACGGGCTGCGACTGGGTCGTCTGACCAATCCGTCGGTGGAGTGGCCGGAAATCAACGCAGCTTGGGGTCAGACGACACTACTGTTGGCTACTATCGCTGAGAAGTTGGGATTCCAGTTTCAGGGGTATCGACTGAAGCCAATGGGATCCATGTCACGGATTGAGAAGATCGAATATCCACGAACGTCACCAGCTCAGTCCGCGCTCGGTGGGGGTAGCGCAGAGACCTCTCCGGCGGCGAAGATCACCACTCTCGATCTCTTCTCTTCTGGAGATCTCCCGCTCAATCTCCCTTGGCTTCACCGCCGGTTTGATGCAGGTATGGTCGCTTTCCTGGAATGTTTACGTCAGCTGGGAGAATTTGTGGAGACGACGCCAGCACCTGTCTCGTCGACTCGTCGGGGTCACGGTAATGCTCCCGTAGCAGGGTTGAAACTCCCGTACGAGATCAAGCGGGACAAAATCGGCGATGCGAGCATCAAACTTGGTTTCAACCAAAACGACGAGACCTGGACGCGTGCGTGCAAGTACACGCTGACCTGTTGCAAATTCTTGCTAGCTCATGCAAGCAATGTTGCCAGTGCTGGATCCAGTAATTCCGCAGCTGTGGCGGCTGCAGCTGTCGCAGCGGGCGAACAGGCCCGACTCGCAACGGCCAGTCCGACTCGAAAGTAGGACCAGCGTCATACAGGGCAACATGGGTGTATTGCATGCTGTGTAGCCTCAAGCAGCTCTTCCTACTTGATTCGCCTTCACCCAAGCCAGCATCAAGCTGGTGTCAAGGATCTCGCTAGTAGATCCACCACGCAGCGCCGCCTATGGCCAATTACATGGGAGCTGCACTTGTGACATCCCCTTCCAGCGCTCTGGCGCCAATCGGGAAGGACAAAAGCGTATCCGGACACAACCTGGTTGGTTAAGATTTGGCACGCAAGTAGTCTCATGGTCGCCTCGGTCCACCCCCTTAGGATCTGAATTCCAGCTGAGGCCTCGACTGGCTCGACTTGGCGTTGTCTCGCTATGCGAGAGTTGCGGATGACAGTCTGTCGCCCTTGCGTTGTGCCTCGTAGCACAACCATTGTGGTCTTTATCTCATAGGAAAGGCATAGATCGACAGTACTCCGCAGTTTTAATGACATTCCAGGCGGTCTCTATGCGGTAAAGAGGACAGCGTCTTTGGCCTTTCTTCTTCTTGCTCAACCATCAAGTGGTTCTGGTGCAGGACGATGGTCCTCGGACATACCTTCCGATGAACCATGGGAAACTAGATGACGATTCGAGACCTGCCATTGCGGTAGCCGGACACTTGCTGACAGGACGGTTTGTACGGTCCACAACGGCGTGTTGGAAGTTGATCCTTGTTGTATCATGGCAACCAGACCCCGTCGTATCTACTCGTCGTTAGTTGTTACAACTTACAAGCGAATGCCATATGAAGGAAACGGGAGATCGTCCATTAGCCCGGCGGCTGTGATGATGACATGTTCCCGTAACAACCTGGGAAGTGGAGGAGGCGCGACGCAATCTTATTCCGACTATTATAGGTGACAGGTGTCAGGGAGTCTTGCATCGGCCTAGTAACAATATTACTGTACGGACTACGAAACCGCTTATCAATTAGTCTAGCCAGACGACGGTCAAATCCCAGCGCATTGTTTCTTCTTTTCTATGTCCCTCTTGCGTCTCTTTGTCTCCAATCACATCCTATGTAACCCACCAAACGCCGCTGGGCCAATCGACGACGGTCGAAGCAGCAACCTCAAAAACAAAGAAACCAGACGGTCCGAGAGACCGTCATTCATTCTACTGATCCATGCTGCTGGGACTGTCAACCTTTTACTTATTATTGATGATTGATCATTAATGATCCTACACGTCAACAAGGAATGGGTTGTTTCGGGCCGCTCCCGACACACGAGGTTATTTTCTCTTTCTTTGTCAACCATCAAAAGTCAAGTGTGTGTCCACCTTGCATATTGGAGTTTGCGAGGCCGATCTAGGCAGAGTATCATTCTCAGGCGAAACGGCGCTGGGAACTGGACTTTTGGCATGCAGTTCACCTCAGTCTATCGCATTTGCCACCAGTTCGGTTTTTAGACCACCCTTGGCGAAAGGATGGATGATTCCGCCACGAATCAGCGTACGGAATAGATATACTTAAAACGACAAGGTAGCGGATGTCGATGAAAAGGGTCCTTGCTCCTTCAGCTTGGTCGCCGTTGACGTTGTGGCTAAGTACTGCTCCAGCCCAGGAGGGATATGTCATCTCAAGATTAAATCGTCGAAGTAAGGGAGTGCTTCCCACCCCATTTTGGAGCAGTGCCGAGCTTGATGGATGCGAAATAACTGGGTCTGGAGTGAACTCCATACCTTGTCTCGTGTACTCGGTGACCGTTTTCTGTCTTCTGGCCAGTGTTGGCGCCGCCCCTTTGGATGTCTGTAACTCACTACGGAGCAGTCCGTGCCTTGGCCAGATACCCGTCCCACCAGGGAGTGTGCTGCAAGATGGAGAAGCGGGCAGCTTTGTCAACAATAATCTCTAGATCTAACCAATGAAAGCACATCAGTAACCGTTCGTTTAAAGGTGATAATCTCCGGGTTTTGTGCGACGATGGTCTCATGGGTGTATGTATGTATGTATGTATGTATGTATGTATGTATCAGTGTCGAGATATTGTGGGTAGTGCAAAGTACGAGTAGATATCGCTTCATAGTAGAAAGTACCTTACGGTAGGTCGATGGAACCGGACGGACACATCCGATCTGGTCCACCAGCATAACGCGCCGCCGATTGTTTCCTAAAGAGTGGACAATCCAGCCGAGCAAGGGTGCCTTACAGTCTTCAGGGCTTACTTCTTCAGGATAAGTAACAGGACTCGACTATGAGGCAGCTGTAAGTATTACTTCACTTGAGAGCGGAGGAGAAACGTGACGATGTTAACTTGATATTGCACCATCATCTCAGGTAAACAATCAGCTGACAATCAGAGCACTGGAGTCTTAGCTGGAGAATAGTTGACTCGATACGGACTCGCGAGGACTGAACTGGAGCTTAGACCTCTTCGCCATCATGTCATCAACCATGACTCGAGACAACTAGGCCGTGCCACCCCGATTTCAAATAATAGCTTGGAAGCTGAACAGGCGACATGAGTTCTCTAGTTCTAGATGAGCGCTTACTGTCCACTATCCTGTTATTCTCGCTGCTTTGCCCCATACCGAACATTGTGGCCTACCATTCCCCAGGTACCTACATAATTAGCTGTGTCCTCATACATATGCTGGGGGTCATGGTACCCTCCATCCCAAGTCTCCGTCAACAGGTGATGGGGGCCGGGTTTCAGAGGCAAAACTTAGGTCGCTAATTTGCATTATTGACAGGATTTTGTTCACTCCGTTACCCCGTCAATGATTTTTCTCTTTTCAGTCATTTAATGAAGTCAAGACGATCCCTGATCATACCCTACACCCACAGGAGTCACGTTAGACCTGATGAAGTAGTAGCTGCATCGGATGGCATGTAAGCAATGGTACACCTGCAGGATTAGCGCAGGCAAACACAAAGTACGTAAAGAAGGTACGTAACTCATTCAATACGGACGACAGAGGTACGGAGGATGAAGCACGAAGCACGAAGCGCGATCAGGCGATCAGGATGACACTTTTACCCCTAGTCCGTACCTATATTGACAGTTGATCAATATGTACCTAGTAGCATGGCAGTATGAATACCGAGGATATGGTACATTGTGCTCCTGTGAAAGAGGCCAAGTTCCTGGGAATTGACTTGACTTGACTTCACTTGACAAAGAACTATGTACCTATTATTGAAAAGTCTTGCTTGAGGAGGGCTAGACTACTTAGTGCTTTGTAGCTATGTGTGAACTGGAGAAGAGTGGGTATTATCCGTTTATCCCCGTGTTCATCGTTATGAGCTGGTTTTGACTTAACTCCATACTACTACGAACTTGTCTCCCCACTTCTCTAGACTACAGTTAGGTAGACATACCTAAGGCACATTGCTATTAGTTTTGTAAGGGAGGAAATCCATGAAATAATAGATAGGACGAAGTTACCATGTAATATATGATGTCTCCGTATTCCGTACTCCGTACCTCTGTCAACAGCACCCGGGGGATCAAAACAAAAGTACACGGACCATCAGTACTATTAGCTACTGGCCCACCGATTGGCCCACGGGAGCAAGGATCGGGATATCCGCGGTCGTTCCAGCAGCAAGTGGCCGCAAAGGGCAAGCAGAGGTCCTTGCGAGTCGGCCTCTGCCTTTCAGCGATCTATCGTCATTTCTCCCCTTGAAAAAAAGCCATAAGCATTTCATCACTTATATATTATATATATTGATGTTGGTCTCGGTTTGATTATGAATATTCTTTTTTCGACTCCGAACCCTGCCTATTTATCTATATTCTGGACTACTCAGACATTTTGTCCTTTGCTGTTCATCATCTGTTTGCTGTTCTGGTCTCTCATTCAAGCCAAAGTACGACGACCAGCTAGGAAGTGCTAGCCCCGTACTTAGGCCGCCGGGTGGACACCCTTAGCCTTCTTTTGGCCCCGGGTTGTATCCTTCGTTTCGAACCTTTTTTTTCCTGTAGCCTCGTTGTATTTTTGTTTCTATTTTCTATTTTTTTTTTTTTACCTCCCTTTTTTTTCTGCACCTGATCTACAATCACTGTTTTTTTTTTTTTTTTTTTTATTTTCATGCTTTCTTTTTCCTCTTGGTTCAGTAGTAAGAAAACCTATATCTAATTTGAAATGTTGTGTCTAGCATCAATAAGTATTCGAATATTTATTATCATTTTGATTATATTCCCAGATAGTTCAATTCTTCGAATTTTATACAAGGATTTGCTGGCAGTTTTCTGTTGGAAGAGAAGCAGGAACGACAATGGCCCATAAAGAAACTGCTCGAAAATTGATTACTTTTATCATTATTGGATGCTAGCGAGGCTGCTAGCTACCACGTACTTACAGACAGACACAGACCACATGCTTTTACTTGCCTCTTACCCTGACTGCTATTCTTTCTTTGCAGTCGTCCTGAAGCAATTGCCTGCCTACTACCTCACTCCGTTCTACTACTGACTGACTGACCACTCGTTGCTGTCTGAGTAATAGAACGTGTGTCACTACGATATCTACTGGCTCTCCTTGGGCTACTTTCACCCAACTGCGACTAGTGACTTCTGCATCTGAACCGGATTCAACTGACATCTACCATACAACTCCATACGATTGTCTGGAACTACCTCACTGCCGCTTGTGCTGCAACAGGCAACAGACAACAGACAAACTGTCGATTTCGTCGACCTTGCAAGATACACTCCTCTACTACATCAGAGTCTTTTTGTAATTCTATTTTGCCTCATTGCCCTTCTCTTCTCTATTTGGACCGCCATTTCCCCAACGTTCGTTTTCTTTTCCCCCTTCTATAAATCATCGCCGTCTGCGCCGATCATCATCCCCGGCTATCTCGCCCTCGTGAGCTCTAGAGTATGCCTACCAGAGTAGTTCTGGTGATTCGTTAATGATGGATGGTTCCATCGCCTCGTCATCCAACTTCTCTGCTTCCTCATCGTCTTCGTCCTCAGCAATCTTTCGCCCCCGCAGATCTGACGACTGGAATGAGTACCGTACGGTTATTGAGCGTCTTTATCGCGACCATCAGCTGAAACTAAGAGATGTGAAACGAATCATGGAACATGATTATAACTTCGTTGCATCGTACTGTCTTCCTTTCCCTCGTGTTCTTTTTTTCCCCTTTTTCCTCTCCTCCCCTTGGTTTCCATTTCTGGTTGACAGTGTTCACATCACATGAGCATCTCATGGAGTTGAGCATGCCCGTTTTATCCTCAAGATGAAGGGCATTTCTAGATCCCGTTCAACGGAGCAAGAACAGGGAAATCATTTTCTCCTCTTCTCGCATTTGCCTTGCTTTTATTTCTGTTTCTGGATTACCTTATGGTGAACTGCATCCGATGGTTGAACTTCTTGCCTAACTTGGACTTCCCAGAGAAAAGCAATTCAAGGATCGTTTGGCGGCATGGCATGTCCGAAAGAACATCAAGGCCAAAGAAGTCCATGTGATGATCCGAAAGCAGCAAAAGCGAGCTGCTCGAGGCAAGCAAACCGCGTTTCGAGTCGGTGGTCAGGAAGTCGACTCCAAGCGCATCGCTCGCTTTGTCCGTAGGTACAGTGCTTCCTGGGACAACACTCGCAACGACTCGCATCAGACAAGCCCCGAACCAGGTGCGTCTTCTTACGAACGTGTTTGGACAGACCCCACGTTGTTAATTCTGCTAGTAGATACCCCATCCGACATGAGTTGTTACACTCCCGAACCGGACGATCGATCTGCGGCCTTGTCCCCTCTACCAGAATCCCAATCGATGCACCGTGAGCAGCCCTCTTCTTATTCGATCTGTCATTTGCTATCTCCGATTTCTCCTCGCAATCGATGTCAGAATTTTGATATAGCACATGTACCATCTTGAACCAAGTTGACAATAAGCAACAGGTGAAAACAAAATTGATCCTCTTCAAAGTCCCGAACTGGATGACAATCAATCTTTGTCGGTGGCTACTCTCAGTCCTACCTCGACACACCCTACACCAAAGCCAGTGGAAGACCTGACGACGACTGAAGATGTATGGGAGGCTTTGGATTCATTTCAAGATCGTCTTTTAGCTCTCGACAAGAAGCTCGAGGAGAGCATGTCGAACTTTATTACACCCGGAGAAGAATGCTGAAAAAGCTACTGGCAGTCGCCTCGAACTCGGAAACCCGCAAGGACTTGATGATCCGGTCTAGATTATGGTCTCACAGGATTTTCCGCGGGGTTTGACACCAAGTGATCATGGTGATCACCTTTTTTCTTTTGACTATTAACCACCCTATAGCATGTTACCCATCACTGCGTTTGCCCTTCCGTGTAACACTCAATTCTGTCTCGTCCATTGTCATTTCTCCAATATGATTTCATAGACAACTATGGTTTGACTTGAGTGGAAGATGGTGCAGAGTAGGAGAGAAGTGAACCATTAAAGCTAGCGGCAACAGGAGCGGCTGGGTAGCTCAACGACCATTTGTCTGCTGTCCTTTGCCTCGTCACGGCATCCAGTTCGCAGCCAACTCTACAGGACCCATCCCTTACAAAGCGCTCTGGGCCCGTCGAAATCCCCATGCTCCATTTATCGCTCCACCCTGCTGCATAACAGGCGCGCTACATTCGAGAAGACGTCCCCTGAGTTGTTTGTTCCGCAAACAGCAGGTCCAGACAACTCCGACGGGAACCACTTGCATGGTGTCTCGCTTCCGCAGATATTGTCAAATCCTGATCGTTCGGGGTCCGTCATCTCATCAGGGCCGTTCTTACTACAACCATTGGAGGTCTGGGAACGACTGAGCTCAGGATGAAAGCCGACCCTGCCTACACGGATATACGAGTGTTTGGAAGATTCGCCGTGGTCACCGAAGATGTTTAGGTTGATGCACTCTGCAGAGACAACCCTGGCTTGCCAGGGTATTCCGCCTGGGGTCAAAGGATCGCAATGCAGGAACTGCAAGAACCCATGATGCTGCTGCTCCACACAAGATAGGCATTACAGAGGCACGAGGCAGCCCTGAGCATCTGTACGACAAGCCTGGCGTGTGTTACGGGTGAAGTTGAGGCGGAGTAACCAATATTGAGACTGCTTGGGAAATTCATGTGCAACCAATATAGTGTATTATGAGGGCCATCTATAGAGTGCTAGAGATGATCATCTCATCTGGCGCCAGTCAGAATATGATCGTAGACGAATACCTCTACTCTATCATCTAAACTGCTCCTAATCACAACACAGAAGTAGAAGCACTGTACTACAAATGCACCTGCATTTTCATCCATCGTTGTGACCAAACCCGCAGATCCCAATCACAACAAAGGAACTAGTCATCCAAACACACTCAGACAGTAACACTACACCAAACACAGTACACAGTACACCATACCACTAGCCCCATCCCAGCACAAAGAGAAAGGAACCACCACCATCCAAACATCACCCCCGGAAAAAGATTCCGTCTTTCTCCGTCCTAACCATACGCCCAGGCACTGCATTTGCACACTGCAGACACAGACCCTCCTAGCCCCCGGACAACTTACCAGGATGGGCGACTATCACTTAACGCCCGCCAAGACAATAGGGCGGAAACAGGGATTGGATTGTCGGTTAACTTTGACAGAGCTACTACGAAATCTACAGCCTACGAGCCCAAAGTTTTGAGTTGACTGTTTTAAGTTGATGAAAATCTTAATGGATATAAAGTGCGGACTATCCAGATTCCCATCCTGGAGTCGGGGCCCTGGCGTATAATGTTCATTCAGACATGACGAGACGAGGCGCGAGGCTGGCTCTCAGACACGTTGCGCGGGATCCTTCGACTATCAAGATATCTAGTACTTTCTACTTTCTACGTAGTAAGTATTGCTCACCAGGTTCATGTCTAGTTCTCCTGTAGATAGAAGGATATTTACTCTAGGGCGAGATAGGCGGGTTCAGGTTCCGGATCTTCGCCGATAGGGTCTTAGTCTTCCTCCCGAGTGCGGACGGCGGAGGGGATGGTGCGTCCGTTGTTAGTGTGTGGGCATATGACACGCGACACTCTCCTAGACTCCTACAAGAGGCGCGTGATGTAGTGGATAAGTGTGTTTCTTTGATGGATTTAGTTGGTCTGGATTTAGTTGGTCTGGATTTAGTTGGTCTGGAGTTTGGAGTCTGGACTGCATGTAGCGAGGACCGGTTCGCGATAGGTAGGAGATGGGCCACGGATTTCATTCAAACACGCTGATTCATAATCATGGTTATTAGAGGCGTATCAGCTAGATCTGTCACTTCGGTGTCCCGGATTCATATCACTGTCAGTTCCATAATGCGACCAGGCCCTACAGATATGGATGAGGAATGGAGGACTTGATTAACAAAAGTACCTTTCTTTATAAACTGCGCATGGAGTACTTTTGCAACACCTAGTGTGTGATGAGACAGTCGAACTACATGTCGGTGTATTGAGTAAGTTGTCATTGGGTAAAGTATACACGGCATAAGAAGTAGATGATATAGATAGGAACCCCCCGCTCAAACGTAAGAAGAACAGATAAAACGCAGAAAAAGAAAACATCCATGTCCAGATGTACCCAAAAACAACAATATCCTGGCGTCGTCATTCAGTTCTCCCAGAGCTCATAATCCGTCACAAACCCCGATGCATCGACAAGGACTGAGAGAAAGAGTGGGATAAGAAAGCCAGAACAGAAAATGCCGCCATGTCTCTTGTTCATGGTTTATCGTGATAATAATAAAGGTGATAAGGTGACGAGGAGATGTGATGGCACAGCTTATGAGTAGAATGCACTCTTCTGAAAGCTCTCCGGCGAGATATCACCCATTTTCCCCTTCAGGACTGGCTTCTTCTCATCGCCGACCTGCGCCTTTTCAATGACCGACGTCATGGTATTGCTACGGCTGCCCGCTTCGCTACCGGAGGTGATGGCCTGCTGCGCAGGTCTTCGTTGGATGGTTTCGAGGTAAGGCCCTGGGAGATAGCCAACACGGCCGTCCCGAGCGCGGCAGCGCCACCATTCAGATGCGTTGCCCATGGGGTCCGTCTTGCTGAGAACAGCGACAATATCACCCTTCTTAACGGCCAGATCGATGCCGGCGCTTTCCTGAGACTCGGGAGTGTAATCATACAAGACTCGGCAGAAATCAAGCTTCGATGGATCCAATGGCGCTTGCATGGGTTCCCCGTTTGGTCCCAGCATCATCTGCTTACGCTGCTCCTCCTGTGAGCGCGCGAGGGCTTTGATGAGCTTGCCCATCAAGTAGGGAAGACCGAAAACGGCGATAAGGAACATGAAGAAGGGCTTCTTCGAAGGCTTGGGGGGAGCAGGAGAGCCGTCTGGGAGCGTAGCAGGCGCCGAGCGCCCGTGCATAAAGGCCGCAAAGGCAGACGGGGTAAGAGAGGCAGCATCAGCCGGCGGAGGACGCCCCGTAATCTTCGCAATCAACGTTCGAAACCATCTGATTATTGTGAAAATCCCCAAAGCGGACCCAAGCGTATTTCGCAGATTGCCAAACTGCTCTGCAACAGAGACCATGGCTTTGAAGAAGTTAGCAATATCCAAAAAAGCAGGCACTGGTGACAGGAACATACCAAAAAAGGAGCTATGAGTCGCCATATATGTGCTCTCGAGCATCTGAGCAAACCCACCGAATGCACCCACAATACTCTCAATCATCTGAAAGGTAGCCTGCGTGCTCTGGCTGAACGAATTCGTCAAGCTGTTGGGATCATTGGGGTCGCCAGGCATGCCGGCACCGTACATGCCTCCCATGCCTCCCATGCCGCCGTACATACCCCCGTAGCCACCATAGCCTCCATACATGGAGCCCATCGTACCGAAGCGGGAGTATGGCGACGAATATGCGCCGTAGCCGCCATAGCCGGTTCCATACGGCGTGGTACCGAACCGCGATGCGCCATAGGGGGAGTAGTTCGACGCAGTCCGGTTTACAACGGAGTTCAATGTGTCAGGGCGAGAAGGTAAGGAGGGAGCAGTAGAGGATGATGTTGTTGAGGTGGATGTGGGTATGGACGAGGTAGCGGTCGGCGCTGTCGCAGCGGCGGCTGTTGGAGTCATGGTCGAACTACCGGCGGGGGACGCTGATAATACAGTGCCTGATGAAGCGAAGCAACAACGTTAGCAATCAAGCTCTGATGATGGAGACAGCACAGAATAAGTATTCAACAGCAGCGGGTCACCTACCACCGCCAGCAGTGCCTGCTCTCTCCCACGGTTTAGGTGGCGAAACCGACGCCATGGAGTTGCGGAGGGGATAATTCTCACCAGCCTCGCATTTGAGCCCAGCCAATAATCAGGTAACGAGTTGGACCTAGATGGCAAGTCGCTAGATTGATATGAGGATGATGGAAACGTGGATGCGCAGAAGAGAGGGGACGCAGGAGATGGTCAAGAGGAGATGGGGTGGAGCCGTTTGGCTTGGAGGACAAAATTACATAGCGCATGTGGCCGCAGATGCCGAGGCTGTCTGCTTTTGCCGACAGAAACTCTTCTGAGCCGGAGAACGCCGTGGCTATTTCATCATCATCATGAGGTTGGTTATAGATCGACAGATATATTTTGTATCATCGGTTGCACAATAAATATCACCATATTTCATCACGTTCTTCCAGTGACTTGACTTTGATATATGACAATGTTCTTGAGCCTCAAGTACAGCTATTCTCCATACCGAATATGCTCCTACATTATATCGCCACCAAACCACAGCTGACCGGTTGAATGCAATTGAGACTTTCCTCGTCGATTTGAGTAGATTTACCCATATTATACATGCGCTCCCGAAATCCCAAGATGCAACGCCGACTCTAGACGCCGCGAAACAAAATCAAACCCCTGTTGTCTATACAGTTCGGCAGTCGCCGATGGTCATGAAATAGATGGTCTAGTATGTTGGAATCGATTATAACTCGTCACGACTGCGCATCTGGGGTCGTTGAGGGAGCCGAATTCTCCAAGACCGCGGCGGCACAGGGAGACCCAGCCAGTAACTCCAGGCCCGGTTGGTTTCCAGGACGAAGATTTCCCATCTGCAAGACAGAATCAGCGGTCAGTCACTGTGCAGACGGACAGAAATCAGGAAAAGCTTACAAAGTCTTCGGCATATTCCACCAACTCTTCAGGACGTAGACGAATGTGTTCCACACCACCTCGAATTCGGCCGTAAAACTGTCCCAAGCAGTATCCGATTCCTTATGCGGTCTCCTCTCCCATGGCAATCTCTCAGTCGCGTATTTGAAGTCGTCTTCGTCGTCTTCGTAATAGAACGTTGACCCTCCATCCTTGTAGAGGACCTTCGCTTTCCGACCGCCAGGCTGTTCCTTCAACATGGGCGTTCCCGCCATGATAGCGAAAGTCTGGCCCTGTCCAAGATCCATGGCACGATGGAAGCTTCGTACAGCAGCCAAACTATGGGAAATTCGGCCCAGAGTGTTGATCAACGCGACCAGCTCAGTTCGCCGTAGTGGTGGGTTTTCGCCATTCTTGGTTTCGTCGTAGTCGAACAGCACCTTCAGAGCCGTTCCATATCCGTTCACCTGGAGCTTGCCCCACAGTCGGCACTTATCACAGCCAACACAGTCCATCAATCTGCTCACGTTTCTAAAGCGGTTGCGGAACTCTTCCTTCAAGCCGGGTGCGCTCGGGTCCTGGAACATGATATTTTCATCAAAGATTTGCGGCCGATCGGCGAGGATCGCAGTCAGCTGGGACACCTTCTCCTTGGTTTCGCTGTCCTGAAGCGGATCGCTTGTGCAAAAGGTGTAATTCTGAAGGTGCTTCCGCAGCTTCGCCACGGCCCGCGAGACGAGCGCATAGTTGAAGTACAAGTTAGAAATGCGCTCAGGGTGATCATGCAGACGCTCTTTGAAGCATTGCAAATTAGGGTGCCATTGTCCTGTGGTCTTGTTGAGATAATCCCAGCAGAGATGAGTCGAGATGGATGCATGCATGCCGCTAATGAGGCGATGAAAGACCCGCTTCTCAAGGCACTCATTGTCGAACGGCAACCCTTCGGACCGTTTCATCTCCTTTTGCATTACGTTTCGGAAGTCGTTGACGGCCTGCAAGCCGCCTAGAGATGGATGCGGGGACAGTTCCATCTCCGGAGGCGACTTCAGAAAACAATTCTCCCGGTAAATGGCGTCCCAGACCATATGGGCTCCCGGTCCTGCGTAGCCCGTGAATCGTTCCGGATTGTCTACCAGACTGACGTAGTCGCCTTTACCACTGGCCCCTTCGTCTTCCGGTACACAGTAATCGCGCTCATCGCACTCGTCGTCGTATTCGACCACACAGCTCTCCCCGACATTTGCGCCGAGTTCGCCTTGAAGGGGTTTGTCACTGGGCCGTTCCTTTTGAAGTTTGCGGCCGGGGTGGCCTGCTTTGGGACCTTCTAATTTGCTAAGCTCCTCCGCGCGCCACGTCAACGGGATATCCTCCTCCGACTCTATTGTATTGACGGAACAGGCGATATTGCCACACATGCTATTGGCATCGTCCCAGAAGGGGCATTGCTTGTTGAATAAATTTAGGCGGTAGTATGAAAAGAAATCCGTCTCTTGCGTGATCGATTGGAGAAGGCTGTAGATCTGATCGTTGAGAGAATCAATGGTGACGTAGGAAACACAGGCATCGGAGACGGTGGCGGAGGGATCAATCTGGACAAAGACATAGTCAGAAACAGTCATAGAAGTATTCTTGGTAATAGAAGCTACCTACCGCGCAAACAGAGTGGTCATATCGCTGTTCGTCCTGCGCATTGGTAAACCTCAAAAAGGCGAACACTGCCAGGTAGAAGACCCTGGCTGCGGAGCGCATTTTGCGATCAAGTTCTCAGAAATGCATGTACTAGTATGTGTTTAAGATCAAGAGGAGTGATGAAGTTGATTAGTCGGCTTGTTGTCCTTCACATGAAAACAGACAAGTGGGCCTGTCGAGGATTATCAATCAAAGCGAAGACAAAGCCAAGGAAGCTGGCAGACCATGCAATAGCGAAGGTACAAGAGGATATTGGTACTATGCAAAGAGTGTGGAAGAGGAGTAAAGGAGAAATGCAAATCTATACTGCGGGATTTATTGATTACAGCGTGGTATGTTGTAGTCCTCAATAAGACTATTCAGAAGGACAAGGTGGCCTTGATCGCAGTAGTAATCGGATGATGATCGCCAAGACGGCTATGGAATGCACGCCGCATTTCAGGTGGTTTCATTTAACACTACCGATATTTCCATTGGTCGAGTCCGTTCTTGATTACCTGTTAAAGGCGTCAAGATCATGCCATTCCGGAACCTCGCTATTCATTAAACGTCAGTACGAACAAAGAGGACAGCTGTGCAATTTGACCTATCTGGCTTATCCTATGGACAGACACTACTACATGCATGCACTCAGAGGAAACGACAATGAACACATCATCTACTGCAACCTCTCGTCCCCCTCGAGGTCGTGCCCTTCGACCATCTCTCTAATCCTCTCATCCCGACTCTCAACCAGATCCTCTCCCGCCTGATCCAACGTCTGATCCAACAGCTTCTCAAAGCCAAGCGTCTTAGCAGCAAACTCAAATATCATCTTTTCCACTTCAGTCGAATGTTTCGTGAGCCCATGGTCGTCCCCGGGAAGCAGTCTAATCTCGCGGGGCCCTGTATCTCCGTACTCCCTATACAGCGTCTCCGAGCACGTCGGCGAGAGCACCTTATCATCGGTCCCGTGCAGCAAGAGCACCGGTCGCGGACTCAATTTCTTGATCCCCACCGTATTCGCAGTCTGAGAGGCAACTGTAGCCACGCCGCGGACGCGGTCGTCCTGAGCTGCGACGGTGAAGCAGGGACTCCCGCCAAAGGACCAGCCGACGAGGACGAAGGCCGATGAATTGAAGTGCTCGCGCAGGTAGGTGAAAGAGGCTACGATGTCCGCGGAACAGTACTCCGTCCTCGCAGGTCTTCTGTAGTCAAGTCTGATAGACGGGATACCGAGTAGAAGGGCGAGCTTGTCTGCGAGCGATGGGTAGATGCCTAGGTACACAGTACAATGCAGTTAATTGCCGATCTTCCGTAGATTGAAGGATCAAACAGCGTGGCAAAGATAAGATACTCCCAGGGCCGCTAACTCCACCGCCTGCACCACTGACCAATACGACGGCTGATCCCTTGGATTCGTTGACGTTGTAGCTGCGAGGTTCGTGTAGAATGGCCGGTGCGTCATGATCGAGCGGATCGTTGACGCGGATGTTGACATGTCTCGCGATCGAGGGTTTGATGGCCCTCTTCTCGACTTTGGGGGGGTGCACAGGTCCCAGGGCAGAGAGAGTATGGGCCCGAACTTCAGCCATGGCTTTGTTAGAAAATCCTAGGTGTCGCCGTAGATTTGGTAGTAAAGAATGCAAATGATATTGAAGGTAGGACCTCACGCAGCAAAACATACTTTTATCTTATCTGCCTAGAGGCAAACAAAGACTGTATCATTTATGTAAGAGTCGCTCTGCTGCTAGGATTTGGGGCGATTTGATATCAGAATGATGGACATGACGCAAGAACTATATAAACTGCTTACCAGGAGGCAACAGACACTGGTGGCAAGTTATAGACCGCCGTGACCGCGCATTACCACTTTGGATAGTCAGTATTGACCAAATCTACACATGGCTGCCTATTGAAATCTAGAGTGATCAGAAAAGAGCGGGAGAAGAGGGACTTCAATCCATTTGTTTGATTTGATTAGAAGAATGAAGTTGAGCCTGCCTTTTATTGTAGTAGTACAGGCATAATCCGTTACCCGAAACTATATCCCAAAGAAACCTTTAACTCCTAGTGTGACCGACTCCAATAATGCCGTCACATATAGCAAGACTTACATACATGAAGGAAGAAGGGAAAAAAGCTCATGCGGCATAAAAAAACCCTTGTTACATGATTCCAGATTGCGCCCAAAAGTCCGGGTATCTCTTCCAAATTCCAGAGTTGCCGCTCCTAAAAGCCCTCATCTCGCGATTTTGTCCGTTTCCTGAGACTGTTGGACGGACTGAGACATCGGTGAGGGGGAAAAGCTCAAAATAGGCATAAGAACCCCTCGTCTCATGAAATTGCACCAATCTATAGGGTATATAGTCGTAATAGCGTAGGTGTCGTGTCGTATATATTCCGAGTCGTGAATTCATAAAGCAGGTCGAGTAGTCATTCAGGCATATTCTTGATTGGCGTCACCAAGCATATAGCTCCGCATTTGCAATGGTGAAGACC